GCCACTAAGCTCAATAAATACAGCTCAAGAATCACGGAGCCCAAGTCGCAGGGCGGCTCCCAGGCGATTCTCTACGGCGTGGGCCTCTCCGATGACGACATGAACAAACCCCAGGTCGGAATTTCGTCGGTCTGGTACGAGGGGAACACCTGCAACATGCATCTTCTGAAGCTCGCGGAGGCCGTGAAGGAAGGTGTTATGGAGGCCGGAATGGTGGGGTTCAGGTTCAATACAATTGGGGTTAGCGATGCTATTTCGATGGGGACGAGGGGAATGTGCTACAGTTTGCAGTCGAGGGACTTGATTGCTGATAGCATTGAGACTGTTATGGCTGCTCAGTGGTACGATGGGAACATTTCCATCCCCGGATGTGACAAAAATGTAAAATGCACATATATCTTGAGACTCTTCCCATTTGCCTTCTATTTTTTCACCCCGTTTTTGGTGCAGTTTTGAATGTGATACACTTTTTACTTTTCCATCCATACTGTGGCTGAGTAATTCTGCAAGTTACCGGATGTATGAAGTGCTGTTAACTGAGAACTTGTTTGCTGTAGCGAACTTCTGACTATTTTCCTTTCGAAAATTCATCCTTTATGGTTTTGATAAATGATCTTTGAACAAGGGAATGTGGAGGATTTTTATTGAGGCACAATCTCTAGATACTGGAAAAAAGTGCATGCTTTTGCCATTTGAGGTGTTTTGCTGAATGGTGCTTGTCACTCTGAACGATTCACCATTTTAAAACCATGACTTGTACTTTTGTTGTGAGTAACATCTTAGTTGTTTGTGTTTACCCTCACTAGTATGTACTTTTTAGCTAATAATTTGGCAAATATCTTTCCAGGAAAAACATGGCCTTTTGTTTCTTTTGTTATTAAATGGTTTTGTTCTAAGGAACATGTGTTTTTTCTATAAGCATATGGTAGATGGTTTTTATGCCACTATCTAGACATGTCTTGAACTGACTTATTTTTCATGTCTTAGTGTTTGAATAATAATGTTATTGCTTTTCACATGTCCATAAAGATTGTTCGGAGCCGTTATACCTGATGTAATCCTTTGTTCTCCAGTTGAAAAGCATCTTTGAGATTATAACTATTTCATTTGTCCATGATTTTGTAACTTTTTCATTTATCCATGATTTTGTTTGGGTTTAGTTTTTATTTTCTTCTTTCTCATTGTGTTGTGAATTGTGGTCGGATGTCCTTTCATGTGTGTTGTGTGCGGTGGCTTTGCAAGAATAACCACACAAAGTACTGCACATTACATTTATGACTGAGTGGGTTTCTCTTGGCCGTGTCGATTCCAGATTTAAATCCATTGGACTCGATTCCAACCAATCGATGATAGATGGAAGTATGTTCCTGTTGATGTTGATTGTATCATTCTTAAGATGATGTTTCAATGTTATGACCATTTGTTAAGAATTGAGCAATAGTTGATGAAATCTTCTACTGAATAATTTTATTTTATTTGGCTGTAGATACCGGTTACTTGGCTTCTTTCTTCCCTTAGCCACCCTTGTAAAAGTTTCAACCTTTGCACTGTTAGTTTCTTTGATCCTTATTAGTGTACTCGCAATAATATTGCAGATGCCAGGTACAATTATGGCTATGGGACGGCTGAACCGTCCAAGCATTATGGTTTACGGTGGAACAATTAAGGTTTGTCTAGTTTACTCTGATATATAATTCTCTTTCCTCAATTTTCTCACTGCAGATCTATCCTGTTTAATCCTAGATGATTTACTGCATCTCTCTCTCTCTCTCTCTCTCTCTCTCTCGTAGATGTGCTTTTTATGATATTGTATAAATGATGTTTGTTTAATAAAAGTGCTCGTTGATATACTGCAGTATAAGTTGATCAAATTCATTCTACTGGTTCAGATAAAATAAATTCACATCACCCTCTAGTTGGCCATATAAATTTCCTCATGTGTTGATGCAAAGCAAATCATTCTATTTGTAGTTGATCATATAGTTATCAGTATTTACAAGTGCCCGGATCATGTTTTAATATGTTTTTTATTAATGTTTCCATATTATTACTTGTACTTGGATGTAACTTTTATGTGGTGACTAAAGACATTAGAAGTGGATTATGTTGTGACTGAGTATAATTCAATTTTTCTTTGTTTATTTGAATAAAGCTTTATTGGATCCTTATTTGATGAATTATAATATAAGTTTCCCAGGAAGTGGTTGGTAACATACTTATTGTTTCTATTAATCTCATGCAGCCTGGTCATTTTGAAGGTCACACATATGACATAGTGTCTGCCTTCCAGGTATGTGCATCACACTTCCATCCTATCTCTATCTGCTTTTCGTACTAGTGATCATTATTTTTGGGTTGGTCTTTTCTAATTTCTTTATGTCAGTAACGTACAACCCTGTTCATTGGAACCTGTTATCAGCATTGCAAGCTAAATAGAGGTTTTGGAAGTGATGAATGGTTCATTTCAATTAGGCTTTGTGGTTTCAGTAGGTTTCTCGTTTAATGATCACATGCCTGACAAATAATACACTAAATGTTTTGGATAAGGACTTGTTACATTGGCCAAATACACCCTGAACCTTTAGAATTATCTTATAATTGTTTCTCTTTTTTTGAGGCCTCATCTGGTCATGATTTCGATGATTTTTTTCCCTCTATAGTCATTCATAATTAATGTTTTTTCGCCCGTGATTCATAATTTAGGTTTATGGAGAGTATGTTAGTGGATCCGTAAGTGATGAACAAAGGATGAATGTAGTCCGCAACTCATGTCCTGGAGCTGGGGCATGTGGTGGAATGTATACCGCAAATACAATGGCTTCAGCTATTGAAACACTGGGAATGTCCCTTCCTTACAGGTGAAATAATATGATGTTATGAAAAGCAGTCACGGAATATTTTTATGATTAGCTAAAAATCTTATTTTTAAACTAATGTGATTTTTATCGACTAAAAGTTCTTCCACGCCTGCTGAAGACCCTCTAAAATTGGATGAATGCCGCCTCGCGGGTAAATATTTACTAGATTTGATTAAAATGGACTTGAAACCCCGTGACATCATCACCCCAAAATCCCTACGTAATGCGATGGTCATGGTCATGGCACTTGGTGGATCTACGAATGCTGTTCTGCATTTAATTGCTATAGCAAGGTGAGCAGTATCTAATTATGGAAAGCTATCATCATAAAAATTCCACACGTGTGAAGAAGCTCTCAGCTACATTTTGGCAGGTCTGTAGGTTTGCAACTAACTTTAGATGACTTCCAAAAGGTTAGCGATGAGGTTCCATTCCTTGCGGATCTTAAGCCGAGTGGTAAGTTTGTGATGGAAGATGTACACAAGGTATGTTCAGTGTGATTTGTGCTTATTTCTATGTTATTTCTTTGTTTCCAGAGATATATTAATGAGTTCTATTATGTCCATAATTTAGATTGGAGGCACACCTGCTATCATTCGCCATCTATTGGAGCTTGGATATTTAGATGGGGATTGTATTACAGGTAAAGTGCCTGAAATTTACTCGAGAGTGCAAACCATATATGTTCTTTCCTTCAGAATTTTGCTTACCCCTTTTGCGTTTTCTTAGTTACGGGACAAAGTCTGGCAGAGAATGCAAAGCTATACCCATCCCTCCCTGAAAAACAGGTATAGTTGATCTATTAAGCAATTTATTCAGCGTCAGTATATTTTGTTCCCTTGATTTGTCTACTAATACATATATTACTAGTAGGTTCATTCTTTATGTTTGATTGCAGCAAATAATTAGACCCTTGACAAACCCCATCAAAGAAACCGGTCACATACAGATATTATACGGAAACCTTGCACCTGAAGGTTCTGTGGCAAAGATCACTGGAAAAGAAGGGTTATACTTTTCCGGTAACTGCCATTGTCTAATTTCGTTCTATCCTAATTTTTTTTTCTTTTACTTTTATATTTTTCCATCTTTTCATTTAGTTCATGATGTCTTCCTTATAGTCTGTTTTAATTTATTTGTTTTGTATTACGGCCTTGTGCTTGTATTTGAAGGAGAGGAGTTATTAGTAGTAGTATTGTTTCTTCATAGTCTATTTAGTTCATGTCTATCTGTCGTT